GCGGCGGACACAGTAAGGGAGGAGTAAGGCCAGTAGAAGGCGGGAGACCAAGAACCTGCTGAAGCAGTGGAACGAAGTACGGTCGCGGCTGCACAGCGCCTCCAGAACCAGCTCCGACAGCACCAGCACCCCAAGGGCCAGCACCTCCAGCGCCAGGGCCTCCAGCAGCTCCAACGCCAGCAGCACCCCCAGCTCCAGCAGCTCCAGTACCTCCAGTACGAGCACCCCCGGGACCAGCGGCTCCAGTACCTCCAGCACCTCAAGCTCCAGCAGCACCTCCAGCTCCAGCAGCTCCAGTACCTCCAATACGAGTACCTCCGGAACCAGTGGCTCCAGCACCTCCAGCAGCTCCAGCTCCAGCAGCTCCAGTACCTCCAGTAAGAGCACCTCCGGAACCAGCAGCACCAGCTCCAGCTCCAGCAGTACCTCCAGCTCCAGTAGCTCCAGTACCTCCAGTACGACCACCTCCGGGACTAGCGGCTCCAGTACCTCCAGCAGCTCCAGCTCCAGTAGCACCTCTAGCTCCAGGGCCTCCAGCGGTAGGCCCCTCAGCTCCAGCAGCACGACTCCGGAGGCTCCAGCGCCGAGCAAACCACTCGCGCAGCTGCAGTGGAGAGAGAGACTCCCGCCGTGACACGACACCCAACGAACCTCCAGGCTAAGCACCCCCAGGCTCAGCACCTCCAGGCTCCGCACGCTCAGGCTCAGCACCCCCAGGCTCCGCACCCTCAGGCTCAGCACCCCCAGACTCAGCAACCCCATGCTCAGCACCTCCAGGCTCCGCACGCTCAAGCTCAGAACCCCCAGGCCCCGCACCCGCAGGCTCAGCACCCCCAGACGCAGGACCCCCAGCACCACCAGAGTCGACAGCTACCTCGACAGGCTCGACGGGGTCTACCTGGGACACACCTGAGGGACCAGGACCCTGAGGGGGGAGGGGGTCTACTGGAGGAGGACCTGGTGCGAGGAAGAGCGGCGGGGGAAGGAGAGGGGCAGTGTGGTAGGGGAAGAGACGGTAAAAGGGAACCGACTCGTCAAACGTGACGTCCTGAGAGGACAGGACACGGCATGAGGTGGGGTGGTAAAACTGCCAGCCAGGCGCGTCAGGGGGAAAGCCAAGAAAGACGCAGGGAACAGCGCGGGAGGAGAGCTTGTCCGCGGAGGTATCGCGGTCAAAAGCACGACATCCCCAGACCCGGAACACCGACGCATCGCCAACCTCCCCCGTCCAACGCAGTGTGGGCGAGGTCTCCGGCAAGGAGACACGGGGCCAGAGGTTGAGCTGATGCGCAGCGTACTGGACTGCAAACGGCCACAGAAAATGGCAGCCGCATGGATCATGGAGGTACGAGAAACCTCCATGACTAAGCCAATGCGGCGCTCAGCAACCCCATTCTGCTGCGGAGAGGCCGGATGCGTGAACGTCTGGCGAATGCCCTCCCCACGACAAAAGGCCCGCAAGAGGTCGGAGGAAAACTCACCACCTCTGTCAGAGTGCGGACGCAGGACGGGAATTTCCGTCTCGAACCGCTCGCGGAGCTGGAGCCGAACAGCGCGGATCCAAGGGATCAGAACATCAGGGACCTCCCCCTTGCGGCGCAAGGGGAAGACCGTGGTGTAACGCGTGTAGTCGTCGACAACCAGCAGAAAGTACCGCTCGTGGCCCTGTCCACGGACGCGGGCTGGGCCCCACACGTCCAGGTGGAGAGTCTGCAGGGGAGCCTCTGTCGGGGGGAACGAGGAGGAGTGAGGAGCGGCGCGCTGCCGCCCCTCGACACAGGGAAGGCAGGGAGGGGCAGGCGAGGGTGGGAGGGGAGGCAGAGACCTGGGAAGAACAGAGACAAGGAGACGGGAGTGCAAGCCACGGAGGCGTGCCACAGAGGGGTGACCAATGCGGTGGTGCCAAAGGAGTGTCTGGTGGGACAGGGCGCGACACGAGCAGGGGGGCGCAAGCTGACCTGACGCAGACGCAGACGTAGCTACCTGAGGAGGCGCAGTAGTCAGTGTGTACAGACTCGACCCAGGTCGACGGGTGAACGTGGCCAGGTGCCTGCCAGTCCGAGAGCACGTACAGATCGCCACATGCTGTCCTCCAGGGGTGAAGGTATCAACCTACTGATCCTGAAGGACGGCGTTGCTAACCAAGTTCGTAGAGAACGAGGAGAGGTGGAGACCTGACAGTGAGCCAGACAGAACCGCCGGATAAGGCAGAACAGTGGAGGAACGTGCAAGGACTGGGCCTCCAGAGGGGTCAGCCAGAGAGACACCAACAGGTGCAGAGAGTGGTGTGACTGTGGTACTGTCGCGAAAGAAACAGCGGGAAGCACCTGAGTCAAGCATGAAGGTGTGCAAGGCCGAAGCAGATGCAGTACCAGAGAGAGCAGACTCACCAGCACCTAGAGCAGCAGACTCACTAGCACCGAGAGCAGCAGCCTCTATACCTGGGTCTGGCGGCATACACAGGTAACAGTTACCCTCATCACTAACAGTCAATGCATACATGGCAGATAGGATAGCATCATAATCAAGAGCAAAGATGTCTACACCCTGCTTAAGAAGATCTGCCTAGTGGGGGAGCTCAGCCGCGTCTGGAAACTCTGTGCGGAAGGCATCGGTAAGACGAGAGAAGCAGCGTTACTGGGTGTAGAGCCTCCCGCATGTCTAACCAGTGCGGTCACCTGTGCGAATGACATACGGGCAGGGACCACTACCCCCAGCCGCCCCACGCTGAGCAAACCACTCCCGTAGCTCCTGTGGCAAAAGCTGACGCTCCTGCTGCCTCTGACCACCGCCCAGGCCTCCCCTCTGACTCGTACCACCCCGGCCGCCACCACTGCCACCGCCTCCACTCCCACTGCCGTCACCACCTCCGCCGCCACTACCACCACTGCCGCCACCACTGCCGCCACCTACACCTCCACCCCCACCACCACTCCCTCCGCCACCACCGCCCCCTCCACGGCCTCCACCGCCCCCACCACCGCCTCCACCTCTGCCGCCCCCACCGCCCCTGCCTCCCCTGCCCCTGCCGCTGCGGCGCCTCCCACTAGGGGCAGACGCAGCTCCCACCTCCTCAGCACGAAGGTAGTCAACAGCTGCAGCAGAGGCGACTGAGGGGAGAAGGGGGGAGGGCGAACACCCCTCAAAGAAGGGAGTGCGAGGAGTGCCACGAGAAGCGCCTACAGCGACTATGCTAGTCTCAGCTGCAAGGAGGTGCTTCTCGAGCAGGTCGACAGTGAGGGTGGTGGGCTCAACGGCTAGAAGGAGGTCCCTGACAGCGCAAGAGAGTCAAGGAGGCGGGTGACTATGAAGTAGAGAGTGATGTACATGGGAGGAGGGTTCTTGGTGAGAAACTCGGCGGGAAGCGCAGCGCGGTAGCGAGTGTCACTAGTACGAAGGTGAGTGACGAGGTCGGCTACTGTGGCAAAGGCGGACAGTTCTGGGAACAGGTAGGGCAAGAGAAGAAGGCCTAGAGCAGCAGTGGGCAGGGAGGAGTAACGAGCGACTACAGCGTCGTACAGTGCTTTTGCAGTCTTATGCTGTCCGAATTGAGCGTGTTCGGCTAACGGCAGGTGGTTGCGAACGGCTAAGCGAGCAGCAACGTCACGAGTAAGCCAATGTGAGCGAGTTGTACTGTCAGCTGTGGCGGCAGGGGCGAGAGAGGTGCCAGACGTGAGGTCAAACAGTGAAACTCCGTCCTTGGAATCGCTCAGTAAGAACAGCTGTAGGTCGTCGAGCCACGCATCGAACTCTATCGGGCGGCCCTCCGGATCGAACGTGAGGACACTGAGCGTGGTCATAGTGGGCAGAGCGGTCGGGCGCGCTAGCAGCAGAGCAGCACGCAGGCAGGGCGGCGCAGGGCGACGCAGGAGCGAGCGGCGCGCGGCAAGGCAGGGCGCGCGGCAGGGCAGGGTGCGCGGCGGCACGGCGCGCGGGCAAGGCAGGGCGCGTGGCGGCGCGGCGCGCGGGCAGGGCAGGGCGCGCGGCGGCGTGGCGCTTGGGCAGGGCAGGGCGCGCGGCGGCGCGGTGCGCGGGCAGAGCAGGGCGCGCGGCGGCGCGGCGCACGGGCAGGGCAAGGCGCTCGGCGGCGCGGCGTGCAGGCAGGGCAGGGCGCGCTGCGGCGGGCGGCGCGCGGGCAGGGCAGGGCGCGCAGCGGCGAGCGGCGCGCGGGCAGGGTAGAGCGCGCGACGGCGGGCGGTGCGCGGGCAGGGCAGGGCGCGCTGCAGCGGGCGACGCGCGGGCAGGACAGAGCGCGCTGCGGCGGGCGGCGCTCGGGCAGGGCAGGGCGCGCTGTGGCGGGCGATGCGCGGGCAGGGCAGGGCGCGTAGCAGCAGGCTGCGCGCGGGCAAAGCAGGGCGCGCGGCGGCGGGCGGCGCGCGGGCAGGGCAGAACGCGCTGCAGCAGGCGACGTGCGGGCAAGGCGGCACGGCGCGGCGCGCGGGCAGGGCAAGGCAGGGCAGGGCGTGCGCAGGCAGCGCGACGCAGGGCAAGGGAAGGCAGTGCGGCGCTAACACGGCGGCGCGACGGGTAGGGTAGCGCTAGTCGGTGGGCCCTACAGAAACGGTCCTAGGCTAGGACTTGCTCTGAAACCATGTCAGAAATACGAGCGAGAATTAATTGACTAACAACAGGATGGGTACACGTACTAACCCTAATTAGGTTGTACCCCATATGGGCTACAAAAGACACAGCATGTTAGTTTGACAAACCTTTCCATGACTTTTTGTGCTGCGGAAATAGGGATGTCCGGAGAATCTGCTTCGGCCTACGTTCGCGAAGGGTTTGGTGTGGCCTCTACCCTGGCAGCACGGGGATTTTCGACCCTGATCGGTCCGGTCGGCCTTCTGAATCGCCTTAAAAGTTGGCTGGTTTTGGTCGTCCGCAGTTCGGACATCCTCCCACACTTCGTATACGCTATTGTTAATAGCCATTTGCAGGTGTTCCATGGAGATGGGTGCGATCGTGGCCTCTACCACCCCTTTTGACGCTTGCTCTATCGCCTACTCCACCACACCCTTCAGATTCTCCCCAAACGTCTCGGAAAACCCGACTAACTTTTCCTGCAATGCTCCCACAGCCACTGCAGCAGCTGCTCGACCTGCATCAGCTGCTGCCGCTCGTGCCTCGGCGGCAGACGTTGAAAAAGCAGTACGCAATTGGACGAGCTCCTCGCGCTCTCGGACCACTGAATCCTTGAGCACCTGGTACTCGTGCGTTAGATCGTCGTAGTCCTGCAAGTATCGCACGTCCCATCCATGCATCTGCGAACCAAACTGGCGAATCTCGGCCATGCATTCGCTGAAGCGGACACCTTGCTCCGACGAAATCCTGGCCACGGACCTCGCCACCAACGTCAGACGCCGCATTAACTCGGAAGTGGTATGCACCCTGCCGCTAGCTGCGATGCGGTCGACGGCCTCCTCAAATCCACCCGCCGTCTCCTCGAAAACCTGGGCCCCAGCATTTTCCTGTTCCTGCAATACCCTCTCCACAGCCACCCATTCACCCTCCTCCAGTTCCTCTGCCTGCACCGCAGCAGGATTCTCTGTCGCACGTGGACGGCGCCTCTGAATAGGGAGCGCACTCGCCGCACTCTCCAGCTCCTCTTCCTCTCGTCCTCCCTTCACTGCCCATCCCACCCCACGCCAGACCTGCTCCTCCGCGACTCTCTCACCCTGTAGCGTTCGACGCGCTTCACCCTCTCGTCGACCAGCTTGCCTTGACTGCTCGAGCCTCCTACGGTCTCCCTCGCCAACCCTGTTCCGAGCTGTTTGATCATCACACCGGCCACCATCCCGCTGAATCTGCAATCTCGAACCGCCAGTTCCCAACCGCGCTAAACCCACCTCCGCTGCCCGACGAACCGTCGTCCCCTGCTGCACATCGGTTGGCTGGTCGTCAACCACCACTTGACGTGCTCCTTCCCCTGCACCCCGCCCCGCTTGCGTTTGAAAGACTCTCGCGTCCCTCTGGCCCTCGCTTGTGTGACGAGTTCCATCACACCCCCGCTGCCCTTCGGCACCATGTCCACCCAACCCAGCAACCTCTCTCGGCCTTTCGTGCCTCGGCAGAGCGCCCCCCATCCCACGCCGCTCATTCTCCTCCCGTCGATCCCCCTGATGCTCCAGACCATGATACTCACCAGCTACCTCCATCTGTCTTGCCACTTGCATTTTGCGCTCCAGCCTTCTCAGCTCTTGCCTTCGGCGTTCGCTTTCGGCTATCTTACGTTCTCGTTCTTGCCTCTGCCGTGCCTCCTCCCTTTCGCTCGCGTCTCGCTCCCCGGCCTCCAGCCTCTTTCGCTCTCGCTCGTCCTTTTCCCTCGCCTCCTTTCCGCGCGTTTCTCGCTCCTTGGCCTCCAGCCTCTTCCGCTCTCGTTCCTACTCCTTTCCGCGCTTGACCTTACTCGCCTCCTCCCTCTTTCGCTCTTCCTCCCCCCTCTGCCGCTTCTCCTCCTTTTCGCGCTCGACCTTACTCGCCTCCTCCCTCTTTCGCTCTTCCTCCTCCCTCTGCCGCTTCTCCTCTTTTTCGCGCTCGACCTTACTCGCCTCCTCCCTCTTTCGCTCTTCCTCCTCCCGCTGCCGGTTCTCCTCCTTTTCGCGCTCCGCCTTCCTCTCCTCCCTCTTTCGCTCTTCCTCCTCCCTCTGCCGCTTCTCCTCCTTTTCGCACTCCACCTTCCTCGCCTCTTCCCTATTCCGCTCTTCCTCCTCCCTCTGCCGCTTCTCCTCCTTTTCGCGCTCCACCTTCCTCTCCTCCTCCTTTCGCTCTTCCTCCTCCCTCTGCCGCTTCTCCTCCTTTTTGCGCTCGACCTTAGTCGCCTCCTCCCTCTTCCGCTCTTCCTCCTCCATCTGCCGCTTCTCCTCTTTTTCGCGCTCGACCTTCCTCGCCTCCTCCCTCTTCCGCTCTTCCTCCTCCCTCTTCCGCTTATCCTCTTTTTCGCGCTCGACATTACTCGCCTCCTCCCTCTCCCGCTCTTCCTCCTCCATCTGACGCTTCTCCTCTTTTTCGCGCTCGACCTTCCTCGCCTCCTCCCTCTTCCGCTCTTCCTCCTCCCTCTGCAGCTTATCCTGTTTTTCGCGCTCCCTCTCCTCCTTCCACTTCCGCTCTTCCTCCTCCCTCTGCCGCTTCTCCTCCTTTTCGCGCTCGACCTTCCTCGCCTCCTCCCTCTTCCGCTCTTCCTCCTCCCTCTGCAGCTTATCATGTTTTTCGCGCTCCACCATCCTCGCCTCCTCCCTCTTCCGCTCTTCCTCCTCCCTCTGCAGCTTATCCTGTTTTCTCGCGCTCCACCTTCCTCTCCTCCTCCTTCTTTCGCTCTTCCTCCTCCCTCTGCCGCTTCTCCTCTTTTTCGCGCTCGACCTTCCTCGCCTCCTCCCTCTTCCGCTCTTCCTCCTCCCTCTGCAGCTTATCCTGTTTTTCGCACTCCACCTTCCTCACCGCCTCCCTCTTCCGCTCTTCCTCCTCCCTCTGCCGCTTCTCCTCCTTTTCTCGCTCCACCTTCCTTTTCTCCTCCCTCTTCCGCTCTTCCTCCTCCCTCTGCCGCTTCTCCTCCCTTTCGCGCTCCACACGCCTCTGTTCCTTGAGCCTCTCATTTTCCTCCCTCTGCCTCGCCTCCTCCTTTTCGCGCTCCTCCCTCCTACCCTCCTCCCTCTTCTTCTTCTCCACTTCTTTGTGCTCCACCCGCCTCTCTTTTTCGCGCACCTCCTGTTTTTTGCGCGCCTCTCGCACCTCGTCTTCGATGCTCTTCCGCTCCCGTTCCTCCCTCTCCCCCTCCGTTTCGCACACACCTCGCCCCTCTTCGTCAAGCCTCTTTCCTCCCTCTGATTCGCATCCTCATCGTCGCGTAATTCCCGCCCCCTGTCATCCCTCTTCTTTGTCCGTGCCTCCCGCCTCTGATACACCAACCTACTCTTCTCCGTTTCCGGCCTCTGCCCCTCGTCCTCTATTTCGCGAACGACGGTCAGACTCCCATGACTCTTTTCCAAACCCCGCTCCTGCCCTTCATCATTCTCGACCGCGAGGTGCACCGTTTCTAAAGCCATTGCAAGATCCTCCTCCATCCTCTCCCCCTCCTCCCTCTGCTGTAGGGCCTCCGATCCGCAACGCTGGGTTTCCTTTTGTGCGGCCCTCTGCTGTGTCTCCCTCATTCCACGCAGGATTTCGCGTTCATTCTCCCTTGGAACGGGTGGCTCCCCATCCGTGTCGCTTTGACGGGCATTGGCCAGACCGATTCGTACGCCGTCAGCAACAAGGGCACCCAACACGACTATTTCCGCGTCAATCACGGGCGGGGCACCCGTGTCCTCAGCGGCGGCCCCAAGTTGGGCCAGGCTGTCCTCCTCCTCCCTCGAACACTAATCCTCACCGGATGCCAGTTTGTCGAAATACTTAGCGCAGGTGGTCAGAATCTCATCAAAAATATCCTCCCGCCGGTACTTTGGTGTTCCCAGACCGATAAATTTCTCATCTCGATTCGGCTGCCGGAAGATCGAGTCAAGATGATCGAGCACCTTACACCACTGGTACGCTACATGAAAACCGCTCCCGACCTCCCTCGAGGCGATCATCGGAGTTAGCTTCTGCAAGAATGTGAAATTGAACGGATTAGCACTTATCCTGTTTCGAGTTACAAAATGGAAGACAAATTTGCACCGTGAACTTACTCCCGCATTGTCGAGCTTCCAACCGCTCGTAATCCGTGTCCTGATGTCGCGAAATATTTCCTTCTCCTCTAGGCCCAGGTTTGTTTCTCCTCTAGAATACTCCATCAAAAGCTGCACCTCCAGCCATCTGCTCAACATATGAGTTTTCGAGAAATTTAGTTCCCGTTCTACAATGACGTTTACAAGCACATGTGATGATCTAAAAGAACGAAGTACTTACTTGACAACCTCTTGGGCGAGATTGGTGTGCCTGTGTGGTGGAGACAGTGACTTGGGATCGAAATGCAAAAGACGCGTCGCAACGTGATACCCCGGCTCGTCGGCCAAACCTTCGGGCCGGACAAGTAAAAAAAGGCTACAGCGCGCTCGAGGTTCTTCAGTAATTCTGCATGGGGTCATGTGGCGAAAGTTTAGCCAGCGCGTAGAATCTCAAACAATCGGAAAACCCATGTACGTTTCGAGGATTGAACATTCACGCAGTAAGACAGCTCGAGCTCACCTGGACCAAAGCGGGAAGTCAACCAGTTGCTTGCTAAGCATTCCTGCGCGTCTGCCAGGACCCATAGGTTCGTAAGGACGTTTTGCCCTGGCCTCGTTGACCTTGCTCATGGGGACGATTTCAACCTTTGAAAACTGCTCCGCAGTCAGCCTCTCCTTTGCAAGCATCCTGAAAGCAACATAACACAAACGTTAAAAGAACTCAAGGCGATCGATGCCCTACACTTCTGTATACGCCAATCGCCTTTTCGAAAATATGGGTCTGTCGTGGGGAGCTAAAGTATATCTGTTCGAAACGCCCGATGCTTCCGCCAATGATATTAGTCGCGAGAGAATTCCCTCGGAAAATGGAACAGCTGCAAGAGCTCCTAGGTTGTATAACAAGGCGATCGCTACAACGTATTCTCCTGTCCGAGAGTATGCTAATCTCGAAATCAGACACCACTCTTAGAGCGCTAATCCTACAAGTGCATCTTACACCAACACGAAGTTGAGCGTATTCTCGGTCCATTCCCCACGCTTGTGTCGCATGTTCTCGAACTCTACCCGTTAGAAGCGCACACGCAAGCCTGCAACCTCGACTTCCATCGAAGGCTCCATCGACTAAGGGAAGAAAGCAGAGTAGCTGCGATGAAGAGAAGAAGCTGAAGAAAAGTGGAAGAGATGTTGCAAAATGAGAAAAGACCTCCGTTCGGCTTTTATACGCGCTCCCCTCTGACATGAGCCGTACTTTCAGGACATGTTCGAGACATGGTTGTGGCTACAAGTATGGGCACTTAACCAAGGCTGTGCCAGAATTACGGTATGAATCCCGTTGGGAGTCTTAGCTCTAAAAGCACAAACTTTTGACAACTGTCAACAATGATTGTAAGTTGTAGAGGAGTACCAAGAGAGACAGAATGTAAAAAAAAATCATGGAAAATCCAACCACACAAGAATAAAACCCCCTTGACAGGATCATTTTAAGCTCTACCTTTTACCTATTTGCATGACTATATCTGCAAATAAACCACATGAACTACATTCATTAGAAAGCTCAAGACATCCTTTATCCATTACAGAAAAAAAACCAGCTCCTAAAAACCCCCTTATCATTAACACATTTCACTGAAATAACATTACATTGAAACATAAGCATAAAAACATTTATGCAGACTGATATAATTTCACCTATGAAAACACTTAAGATTTTCGCGCGGCTGTCGTCAGCCGTTTGCGCGACACTGGTAAGCCGTCAGACTTCACTGGTAGCGATGAGGTTACCACACGCTCCGTCAACTGTTCACCTTGTTGAAGTGTATGGCGAAATGGTTACCCTTCGCCAATTATCTATTTGGAAATAGGTAAAACGGCCGAATTGCTGGTCTAGCTAGGTCTAGATTTCACATTTCGCCTCGGGCAAATCGGGGGAGTGGGGCTAGGCTCGTCTAAGCGCCCGAGCCGCGCCCTCCCCCAGCCCGTCCACATCTATTTTGGGTTACCACCAGATCAGGGTCTTCCCTAACGATTGTCACAAGACCGCTTTCCGAACCCGCTACGGAAGTTACGAATTCACTGTGATGCCTTTTGGCCTCACGAACGCGCCATCCACTTTCAAACTCACCATGATCATGGTGTTTCGTGACCTTCTCGACAAGTGCGTTATCGTCTACTTCGACGATATTTTGATTTTTAGCAGGACGCGCGAGTAGCATCTCTGCGACCTCGACCCGGTGTTTACACGGCTACAGGACAACCACGAGTTTTTTAAGCAGGAGTTGGAGTTTTGAGGGCACGTAATCTCACGCGACGACATTCTAATTGATGGGAGTGGAAGGCCCCAACTAATGTCACAAAACTTTAGAGTTTTTTTTTGTTCGTGAATAACGTACGGCGGTTTATCCCAATTATGGCGGGGATAACGGGCCCGCTGACTGACCTGCTGCACAAGGACCGGACTTTCGTGTGGGGGAAGGATGCCGAGGCGGCTTTTCAGGAGCTGAAGCAGTTGCAGGTGTCCCCTCCAGTTCTTCGCATTGCCGGCCCATCTCGGCCGTTTAAAGTGGTCATCGACGCTTCAGATTTTGCCATCTGCGCTGTGCTACTCCAATTTTTTGGCAACGTCTTACAACCGATTGCAAAGGAGTCACGCAAATTGCAGGCAGTCGAGCGCAACTACCCAAATCACGACAAGGAGATCCTGGCCATCATTCACGCGTTTAAATTGGGGCGCTGCTACTTGACAGGCGCCGATGTCACTTTTCGCACTGATCATAAATCATTACAGTACCTTAGCGCGCAACCCAACCTCAACCCGCGACAAATCAGGTGGCTCGACTACACGGAGTCGTCTTTTCATTACCGCATCACCTACAAAAAGGGGGCGAATAATATTGCCGACGCCCCGGCCCGCTTGAGAGTTCAATCCGGTGCAGTAATGATCACCCACTCGAACCAGCTCATTTCATGGCTATTCACCCACGGCTACAAGACGGACCCGTTCTTCATGGCAGGCAATCACCTGCAGACGATGACGCAGAAAGGGGATTATTACCTAAAAGCCAGAACCGACCGAGTTTGGGTACCTGCTTATCGCCTGCTGCGTGAACTACTTATCCAGGAGGTCCATGATTCGAACCTCTCCAGACATTTTTGAGTTGACCGACAATACTATTGGCCCGATTCTAACTCTGACGTGCAGCGTTATGTGTCTTCATGCAGAGTGTGCCAGGCAATGAAATTGACACGTCAGCGACCGGCCGGCCTGCTGCAACCCGTCGAGCCACCCGAGCGACCGTGACAACACGTGATAATGATTGTGGGGCTGCTAGCTGGCGCGGCAACGATGCAGTGTTCGTCGTCGTCGACCGTTTCACAAAAATGGCGCACTTCGCACCATGTCGCACAACAATCACAGCCGAAGAGACTGCGCACCTATTCATCTCGACCGTTGTTCGACTTCACGGAATCCCGTCTGCGATCATCAGCGACAAGGACCCGAAGTTACATCAAAGTTTTGGAAGGAGACGTGAGCGCAATACGGCACAATACTACAGTTCTTATCGACCTACCACCCGCAAACCAACGGGCAGACCGAGAGGACCAATCAGACAATGGAGCAGCTCATTAGCACGAACTGCCCTTTTGAGAGTACGACGGCTTTGCTTGCTAGACTTTGCTTTATTATGCCTTTTCTAGCTTAGCTTTATTTTATCTTGCACGCTTTTGCTTGATTCCTAGTTTCGTTGCTTAAACTAGAGTTCTTGTAGTTTTAGGCACCAAACTAGGTTGTGTGCACCGAATTCAGTGCTTTTCGGTTGCCACCAAATTGCTTCTACCGAATTCGGGAAGGATACATTCGGGACGCTTCGCGAACCTCGGAACATTCACGTAACACCTGGTTACCTTGCCTTGCGTCAAACCTATATATATCCTCGCGTTGTACCCAGGTGATCAATCGATTATTTTGGAACTAGTTTCTTGATCCTCGCACTTGGTATCAGAGCTCATTTATACGCGACAGTCTTCAACTACCTAGCCATTAAAAAACCGTGGAGGCGACGACGAAAAGAGCCGATTCGGGTACGTAAAACCAGTTCCGCGAATTGTTCGGTCACCCTCAATTCAATTGTCGAATGCGATATCAGCAAGCATGGAGGGCCAAGGCGACAATTTCGTTCAAGAAATCGCAACACTCCGCGACGAGCAGGACCAGACGCGTGCGGCGCTTCAGCGAATCGATGCGATGCTCGCAAACCAGTCGGCAGCCACCACAACAGTTGCGAACGCAGCAGCGAATGCAGCAGCAACGGCAGCAGCAGCAGTGGTGGCACCGACAGCGGCGGCACCCGCTACAGTGAATCTCGAAGCGGCTCTGTCAAACATTATATGTTTATATTGTGTAGGCTATAGTGGGTTTAGCCATAGGGGGTACAACAAACTTAGGGTTTCCTACTTGTACCCAACTTTCTGCTAGTTCATTCATTCCAGTTCTCTCTTAGTTTCTCACATGGTATTACGAGCCTAGGTCGTAACCTAGGACCGAACGATGGGCCCACCGTTTTCGCATAGTCGCGCC